ATAATTAATTTTTAAAATTTGACTCTTGTTTGAAAGGTTTAGGGCCAAGCTCATAAGTCAGTTTTTTAAAAAAATAAATATTTTAATAAAATAAATAAATATAAATGCAGATATAGAATCTTAACATGTTTTCAAATAAAGATAAAGATTTTTAATTCAGATCGACCTTGTCAAATTTAATAAATATAAAAATTTGTATATCATAGAGTACAACAATTAAAACTAAAAAATAGACCTTACAAAGTAATTGTATTTAAGAAATTAATAAAAAATTATCAATAGTGTGTTAAAATAAATGACAAAAGAACTAATTTCAATTATTTTAATAACATGATACTTAAAAAATTATTAAAATTTTTGGTAATAAGATTTGGAAGGCCACTTAAGCTCAAACTTTTTTTTCATGACCTATTGAAACAAGGTTTAAAAGTCTATTTTTTAAAAAAAATTACCAATTTTTTAAACTCAAATTTTAGCTAAACAGGGTTTTAAGTCCGACGCTTTAAACTTGGCACTTATTTCGAACAATATTGAGGAAGCATGGAATAGTGGCAATGCATTAAAAAAAAAAAAATTGATCGAGAAGAAAGGATATTTTGGGAGGGAAGAGCGTAAAAGAGGAAAAAGGCGTTGTATGGTTGGAAAGGTGACATGTGGTTCAATCATTGCTTCCACGCTCCAATGATTCTGGTTCCTCTAAAAGGGCACTTCTGTCTTCCTAAATAATAATAATAATAATAATAATAATGTGTTTTATAAGCACTGATCGTCAGGCACCATCAACAATGTTTTATAAGAACTCAGCTTACTATTTTTATTTTACTAATACTAATCAATCAATTAGAATCACCATTATTAATTTAATATGTTAAATAAAATTTAAAATAAATTGTATTATTCATAAGGTGTAAATAGTATGATTTATATTTCAAATTTTGTGTAAACTACAGGGTTTGCCTATATAGTTGTGTGTATAAAAATTGATTTTTTCATTCAATTTCACTTTAAAATATGTAATTTAAAATTAGAAAAATTTTGAAGGTGTTTTTGGGGGCATTTATTTTTTAAAAATTAATTGATATAAGAGTTAAACTAAATAGAGTAACCACTATCTTCCTTCGCCAGTTGAATGGATATTATTGACCCATCTAGAATGTTAAAATGTTATGTTTGCATTATAGAATTGCATTGAATTCTGCTTACCTAAAAAAATTCTGTTTAATAAAAAATAAAGTCAAATTAATTGAAATAAATACAAATAATAATCAAATGAACAATATTAGTGGCATTGTATTATATAAATCATAATAAAGCTCCCCTTGCTGGCAAACAAAGAAATATACCTCAACATCTCGCTGTCAATGGTTTTGCTTTTGTTTATCTATTTGGCCACATCTTTATTCTTTCCTCTTATTCTTCAACAATTATTTCTTTCACTGAGCTGTACATTTTTCTATTTAATTAAAATTATGTATTTTTAAAATATTTATTAAAAAAATTGTCAATAAAAAATTCATCTAAAATATTACTTCAATACCAGTTTTTCTAAGAAAGAATGCTGATTATATAACTTTATGTGAAAGTTAATAAAAATCTTTTGAATTTATTTTGGAAATTCAAATGACAACAAATTTAATTTAAGCTATGTATAATATTACAATTCAATATTTGAAGTGAAGGTTTTTTCCGTAAAGTGTTTGAAATAATTTTAAGATTCATAATTTTAATATGAACATTTTAAAATTTAAATATTTGAAATAATTTAGTTAAAGTACTTCTCATTAAGACTCAAGTAGCTAAACTATAATTGTAGTTTAAATATTATGGGATAACAAGTAGTTTCATGTAAAGTTTGGACCCATAATTTATAAGGTCATAGGAACTAATTTTGTTATCAATGTAAAGATTTTTTGATAAATAATTTATAAATTTTTTTATAAGTACTTATTGAGATTAGAGGCATATTCTAATTTCGAAACCCACCTTATTTTTTTATTTGATAAAAAAAGAAATTATGTAGGTCCTGACGCTGTAGCATGACATAACTGTTGTGGCAAATACGTTAGGCCATTTTCAAAAGTTGTGTTCAGTAAAAAAAAAAATTGATTAAATTGATTAAAATATATAAAACGATGGAATGGATGAATCGGGACCCCATCAGCATGAATTTCGCTGATTGGTATTTATATTTATTAAAATTTTGGGTTCCTTTGAAGTTTCAGCCTAATCTCAATTCCAATGTCAATACAAATATTTTATTTTTGTTTATTTCATTGAGAGTATTATCCTTCCTCCGAATCTAATTGTAAGATAAATTTTAGGAGAGGGTAATGTCTCGATATATAAGAAACAATTCACAAAATTTTAGAAGTAGTGAATATTTTTTTACTAAAATGTTCCTGACTAAGAAATAAAAAGATTTGGCAAGCCTTAAAATAAAGTTAAGAAAAATAATAAGTTTTGATTGACAATAAAAAGTGAAAAAATAGAAAATATCTTAAGAAATAAATTAGTTTTAAAAATATTTTATTGATATACATAAGTTATGCAATTTTGTTTTACACAAAAACATAGACGAAATATTTTACTATGCAGCCTTATTTTTAAAAATTTTATATCAAACCACTAACAAAATTTTAATCTCAATAATATTGGTACACTCCTTGATCTCACTTATAATCAATAATGGTGCTAAAAAGGCATTAATCATCATGGTTAGTGGTTGTGAAAGATAATATGTTACACTTTCTAATTAAAAGAATGAAACATATTATTATGTAAAAATTAGAACGACTTATAACTATAATTTAAATCAATATCAACATATATGACATGTAATGTATGCAAAGACATGAATACATGAAAAAGAATCACAAAAGCATTTCGTTTATAACTCATAACCAAGATATGGTTTAATTCAAACTATAAGCAAATGCATGAAATTCACTTTGGTTTTATATATATATATATATATAAAAGAAACAACGATACTTTTTGAATTCAGTTTCTCTCTTGAGCAAAATTCAAATGTCCAAATCTTATTAGGGAAAAAAAATAACATAAGAACTACTTAATTTAAGAGTAGACAATGCTTATATATATAATGGTAGATATTATTAGATAATTGTCACTAAACAAACACAAGAAAATGTTTACTTATTTATAACATATACCTCCCAATTTTAAAAACTTTATTTGTTTAGTTGTTAAATCTTATTGGCCAAACAAATAAAATATTTTAAGACATTTACACTTGGCTTTTTATTCTTGGAGAGAACAATTTTAAACACCCACTTTTCACCAGAGCGAGAGAGACACACCCCAATCCAAATTAGGAGATGAATTATACAATACTTTCTCTCTCTGCTTAACAATATAAAATATTTTTAACATAATCTCACTTTTTAATAAAATAGTTATTTACTTTTAAATAAATATTTTTTTATATTTATGTTATTTAATAAGGTGTTTTACTTTAAAATAAATATAAAGTAATTTTTTATTAGAAGTAGTTTTGAAAAATGCATAATAATTATACATTAAAATACTATAAGTGCAGTATATATTTGACATTTCAATATCCAACTTTTTTAAAAATATTTTATAATTTTTAAAGAAGGGAGCAATAATTTATGCAAATGCCACTAATTTAAATTGAAATTGTATTGTAAATAAAAGAAATAATAGTAAATTTTTGAAAATTTCACTTTTTTTTTTAATTTTGACACAATACACAATATTTTTTTTGAGAAAAATATGATTGTTACTCCCTATACTTTTTAGAATGTTTTAATATTAATTTTTATATTTTTTTTCCTCCAAGATCATTATTTCATTGGTTTGCAAGTTAATTCTTAATGCTATGGATGAGTTAAATCTATTAATTTTTACATAACTTTGTTAATTATATTATTAAGTCGATAAAATTATGATGAGTTGGATATTGTATGAGCAAAATTATCACTAACCTTTAAACCTTAGCTATTGTTTCTTCTTCCATTTGAAGTTTCATACTTTGTACATTTAAGGATTCTAATTTAATTTATGCTTGTTATTTATTTTTTATACAACTACAAATAAATTTGATAAGTCAAACACAAGAAGTAACACTACTTAACTATATGTCAGCCACCATTAAATTTTTATAATCATATTTAAAAATATATGGATTAATATGGCAAATACAACGAAAGAAATATAGGCCAATGGATTTGGAAATGTGTTCTAGGTGTTAATATTTATATTTTTCATAATTTTTTAAAAGAAATATGTTTATGTTTCTGCGAAGCGAAGCTCCTCGTGAAATGAAACCCAACAGTAACAGAGAGACACACACTTCACTTTCAGCACAAGCAAGGCAAGCAAGCAAGCAACCATAACCAAAACACAGACAACGCAACACCACAGAACAAACCACTACCGCCGCCACCTCCGACGACAACCTCCATGCCTCACCGTCGATCATCCTCTCCCTCTCCGTTTCTGAGCCCACCTCTGCTTATTATTATCTTACCTATTATCACCCTCCTCTTCCTCTTCCTCGCACTTCCTCCTCTTCTCTCCTTTATATCTCAACTCCTCCGACCTACTTCCGTCAAGAAAAGCTGGGACTCTCTTAATATTCTCTTCGTGCTTTTCGCGATTCTCTGTGGAGTTTTCGCTAAGAGGAACGACGAGGATTCGGCGTCGTCGGAAGAGGTCGAAACCACCAGGGTCAGCGCGGTTGGGTATGAGAGAACTGTTGACCAAGAAGATGGGTCTGTTTCTCGGCAATGGTATGGATTCTCGGAGAATAAGATTTATGATTCACCTCCGATCATCCCATTGCAGTCACCGATGACTGGAGTTTCCCGGTTGAGGAGGAGCAGTAGCTCTTATCCCGATCTCCGGCGGAGTCGTTGTGGGAAACTGACTGTGATTATCGGTATCGTTTCTTTGATGATTTTGAAATCGACAAGTTTCGCCCGCCAGCAAGGGACCAGATTCCGGTGGACAGCAGCATGAGGCAGGAAAAAGTAGGAGAAGACGCTGATGTGAAGGAAATTCAGGTGGAGACCTTCGAAATTCGCAGTTCGTCGCCGCAGCCAGCCCCGAAGTCACGGACGCCTCCTCCTCCTCCTCCGCCGCCGCCAACTCCTCCACCAGCTGCTGCTCGGCCTAAATCTAGGCGAACTTATCAGAGGGTACCGCGCAAGGAAAAGCTGAAAAATGTGAAAGTCGATTATAATGAGATCACAAGGAATCGCTCTCCGCCACGGCCGCCCCCTTCCCCGCCCCCGCCGCCGGCGCCGTCGGTCCAAACACAAGGGGAGCTTAAATATGGCAGGAACCAACGGAGGAAGAGTAATGTCAAGAGGGAAATAGCAATGGCGTGGGCTTCACTATCCGATCAGAAAAAGAGGAAGAGAAAGCAGAGAACAACAAAGGTCGATTATATTTACAATGAAGATGACGTCAATGAGAGACAGCCGCCGCCGCCGCCGCCTCCTCCTCCTCCTCCTCCTCCGCCGTCAGTCTTCCACACTTGGTTCAAGAAGGGAGGAGGCAAGAACAAGAAAATTCACTCAGTCTCAACGCCTCCACCTCCGGCTCCCCCACCTCCACCGCCATTGACATCTTCGAAGCGATGGTCATTCCGAAAGCCCAAGATCCCACCTCCACCACCACCGCCTCCTCCTCCAGCAACTGAACCCCTCCGACGCAGGAACTCCGGTAGGCCGCCATTGCCCACGAGAACAACGACTCTGAACAACGAGACATTATTAAACTTCGGCAATCAATCACCTCTGATCCCAATTCCCCCGCCGCCGCCGCCGCCGTTCAAGATTCCGGAGATGAAGTTCACGGTTCGTGGAGATTTCGTGAAGATACGCAGCACTAACAGCTCGCGGTGCGGTTCACCGGAACCCGAAGAAAACCCAAATGACCCGAAATCCAAGGACGACCCGCCTGAAGTGGACCTGGGTGGGTCCGTTTCGTGTCCGAGCCCCGATGTGAACGTGAAAGCCGCGACTTTCATTGCGAGGCTGAGAGGGGAATGGAAGCTGGAGAAGATCAACTCAATGAAGGAGAAGCAGAATTTGGGCCTTTACGGCCCTGGACCAGGCCCAATCAGAGGGCCAAGCTCAAGTTGGCATTGAGAAAGTGAGGATCACCTTTATTTCTGCGATTCATCATCTCTTTCTATAAGTGGTAAAGTAAAGAAAAGAAAATCATTCATACACTTGGCAAAATATTAGATATACAATCTTACAGGGCTCTAATTATTGTTATTATTATTTTTTGATTTGAAATGCTAGAGATTATTGAAGAAGAAATTGGAGTCTTGTACTTGTGTTTGCATTGGTTTGTACATAGGTTTTTTTTTTAGTGGGGCTCCAATTGAGCTTTTTGAGATCCAATTAGAGCCTCTAGCCAGTGACCAAGTATAACAGACCAAGTTAGTTGTGTGTCTACAGGTAGATGGATGCATGTATGCATGAGTGAGATTCCTTGTATTAGTTGACCATGCAAGGAATGAATGTAAGGATTTTTACTCTAGGTGTGATTATACCAAATTCTGATTTGGTATTTTTGTGTAGCTACATCTATGTGCTTTTAATAAAATACATGTTTTGTATCGATTCAAGTTGATGTGAATAATAAAAGTTTTTTTATTTTTATCACTTAAACAAGTGGTAAAATATTCGAATCTCAGTTTTTTTATACATAATTTAGTTAGGTGATGCCTATCATTTGCCCTCAACATCTCAAAGGACAAAATTTCCTATTATAGGCAAGGTCCGTTTCTTATACTCACATAAAAAAACACACACACACACACATGTTTTGTGTAAGTTTATAAATGTTGATTCAATTGGTAAGGAATTAGCTCAAAACTATAAGGCTGTAAGATTAAATTTCATTGCTAATATTAAGGCCTTAGTGATAAGTGATCTATACTTATTTTTATAAGTGCTCTTTGAGCTTAGAGTTAGATTTTGACCTTATTGAATCTTCGAAACCAAATTCACATAAATTTTTTGTTATTAAGAAAAAATGCATGCTTGGTACATTCTTTTTAGGTGGAGGAGTAATCCGAAGTTGTATTGTGAAGCATTATCATCTTACAAATAAAATGATTGAAGTTATAGTCTTATCCCTTGGCTTCACATATTGATATGCTTGAATCTTGTTAAGCACTTTATATTGCTGTAGCAACTTTAGGTTCCATTTAATTATTAGAAATAAATACAATAAAATGAATTGAAAAAATTAATAAAAAATGAATTAAATCATCATTCACTCTCATAATTAACATGATAAAACTTATTAATATATATTATAAATGTGAGAATCATTGTATTCTCCAAAAATCTTATGAATCATAATTTCTAACTCTATAAACTAAATTGCCTCACTCCCTCAATCTCATGAATGTGATTTACCATCTTTTTTAATTATCTCATATTTATATTTAATTTTTCAATTCAATCTATTTTATTTCTTTCTAGTAATAAAATAGGACCTTAATTTTTTAATAATATAAGCTTTGATGTAGTATTAGAATATCATCTTGAAGGTGTGAATCATCAATACAAGAGTTACAGTAAGTCATACTGTTCAAAAAGTTATAAATAATGTAGCGTGGAACATGCTTGTGTAGGGTCAACTATACGAGGGTCACCATGGCTACGAAATGTGCCATTGTTGTTGTTCAATCAACAAACTTGGATCATATAAAGAGAAAAATAACACATGGGTATCAGATAAAGATATTATTAACAATTTGGCACTTAGATCATTAGATGCCACATATAGTATTGATAGTTTTCTTATAAGATACCATTCTTGGTTAAATATAATATAATTAATGCTATTCTTGCTAGAGAGAAGAGCAGGAAGATAAGTGATGGAGAACAGTGAAGAAACAGTGGCATTCTTCTCCTTAATTTTTTTTTCGAGAGAGGTTTTGAAAAGAAAATTTTACTTTTAAAAAATTTCACCTTTAAATTTAGCCATAAATATTTTTTGTTTTCCACTCCTTGCCTTTCTCCATTTCCTTGTATTCGGTTTTAGTCTAAAATTTTTAGATTATTGTATATTTAATAATTTTATAAATAAAAATTAAAATTGGATAAAATAATTTGTAATTATATTTTTAATTTATACCATTGTTAATGTATAATGAAAATTTAAATAATAATTTGGTAAAATATTAAGATACATAATATATATATATATATTCTACAAATAAAAAAGATTACAATTGTCCATATAAAATTATTTTTTCTCTCCTCTTTGTTTTCTCTTACCCAATAAAGCATAATAAGAGAAAATCACATTCATTTACTTTTTTCTTTTTTACTTAATTTAAATAACTCAATCACTTATTTCATGCTTTTCATTGGTGCCTCCCATAACTTTTTATGAATGAGAGCAATTTAAGTTAAAAAAACACGAGACAATTTAGACAAAAAGAGATTTTATTAATGGTATTTTTTTCAACATTGCTTCTCAAGTAAGGATTAACATAATACTGTAGCATAATGATTAAGTATGTAAAGATATTTTTAAAAGTTTATAGTTTTATTTTCAAAAATAAATTTATAAAGTGTCATTATTATATTTTATTACTATATATAATCTTATTTTAAATTATAAGATAATTTAAGATAAAAAAAAGTATAATGTTATAACAAAAACATGTTTTATATTGCATCACCCACAAGCTTTTGATTTCTTGTTGGTTCAGCAGTCAACGGCAAAAAGAGTTTTATAGAAGCACATGTAATAATGATAAGCATTTTAATTAACTTTTGCTTGTCTCTAATCTTCATCGAGAATCTACTCTGGCGAGCCAAAATGGCTGGGTCATTAAGAATGATAATGACGATCTCTTTGGTAATTAACATCACGTGACCATCTTAAAAAACCAAAAAGTCACGAAAATAGCAATATCAAATCATATTCGTTACCTTTAATTTGCACTTTTTAGTGTGCTTTCATGTCCAACGTGCATTATCATTGTTTTTTATTCAAACAACAATTATTTTCTCTTTAAAAGGTGACTAGTGATCATGGTTAAATAAACAGTGCCAATGGTTGCATGGATCATGCCCGGCACGTTTAATTTCAAAGTTTTGTTTATTAACAAGGGATAAAATTTTTTTTAGTTTTTTAAATTTATCTTCATTATCAATTCAGTTCTTTGAATATAATTTTAATCAATTTAGTTTTTTTTATATTTTTTAAATTTATTATGTGAGTTTTTTTAAGTTTTAAAACACAAACTGACTCTCAAAATAATTAAATGTGTAAAATAATTAAATGTATAAAGTATATCAATGATTTGACATACACACACATATAGTTAAATGATAACAAATTAAGCTTCAAATTAATTTAAATTTTATCAATATATTTTTTATAATGTGCTTTGTTTTTTTAAAGAAATTTCAAAATATGTTTTTTTCCAACCTAAATAATATTTTTTTTACTACTTTACATTGCTGCCATCAATATTTTATTTTTTATCAACATCAACAAATTTTAATATGATAATTTCTTTTTTAAAAAATAAAAACTAAATCAATAACTGAAGTAAATTTTAAGGATGAAATTGATAAAAATTGAATTTTGTGAACCAAATTAATAAATGAGACAAGCTTGGTAAATTAAAAATTAGATTATTCCGAAACAGAAAAAGGAAAAGCCACAGACAAAATTTAGTGACGATATATATAAACATATTTGTTACATGCCAAGTCAATCATGAAGTAAAAATCATGATTTATAAAATAAAATTTATGTTTTTAAATAAGATGTTTAAGAAAGTAAAATTGAAAATTTGAATTGGAAACCATAGAATAAGAACTTATGAAATAACCATGGTTTTAATTTTAAAATTAATTTTAGCATGTATAAAATTATTTGAATATTTTAAAAAAATTATGATTTTTGATTCATAATAATTTTGACATGTATAATGAGTGTTTTGATATTTTTTAAGAAAACCATGATTTTAATTTCTTAAATTGATTTTCACTTTTCAATTATGCTTATTAAAATCAATCTTAGTAATCAATTATATCACATAATATAATCAATTATATTCAAAATCAATCACAATAATTAATTTTTTCTTTTTTATATGCAATAATCAATTTTTTTAATAGATATCCAAACGCAATCCCATTCAACTTGAAGTCTTTTATTCAAATTTATATAAATGCAAATAATGCTTTATGTAAAAGACACCCTTATTTGGTATCCAGCTAGGCTCGAATTCGGATTAAATTAGAATATAATATGATCGTAGATACTGAATGGTTTCTCATATAAAAAATAAAGAGTATCAAGGCGTTAAAGTTTACTTGTCTTACTTTAATTAAATAAAAATTTATTAAATATATAAGGCAAAGCATCTAAATTCTCCTCCCACGAAAAACACAAAAAATGTCATTCATGTGAAATTAGGGAGCCAAACCCTTCTAATAACCCACTTCTTGAGGTCAGCACCTAATAACACTAGTTGTCTGCACCACAATATAATACTAATTATACTACAGCAAATAGCATAAATAAAATATTTATTTGGTATCCAAGGGAAAAAATAATTACTTAATATTAAAATTATTATTAATAAAATTAAAATATTTTTACCCTACAATTTTAAATTTATTAATTCTAGGATTAATAATGTGCACTTAAATTACATGAACAAAATTTTCATAATGAATGACCACGCAGATCATTATTTATCATGAATTTTTTGTATTTATTTTTTTAATATTATGGAGTATATTGAAAAATGAAAAAAATTGAATGGATAAGAAAAGGTTAAAAAACTTGAAGAGATATAAAAAAATAAAAAATGAAATAAAAATTATATAAAATGCAAAAAAAAATGTTTGTTATCATAATTAACAGGGGTTGTGATAAACTAATTAAAATTGATGCGAGTGAAAAATATTTTTATCATTTAAATAAATAATTAGAGGTTATCTATCTCTCAATTTAACTGGGGGAAGTTTATTCATTATTTTTAAATGCGTGGATAAAACTATGTCACAATCCTTGACATTATTTTCATATGTTGGCTTTCGGGTCGAAGCTATCCAAGAACTTGTCTGCCACGTCAGCTGAAAAAAGATTCGTGCGAAGTACTATAACGTGTTTGTGTCCTCACGTTAAGCTCCCCCAAATTTAAAGCCACGAAAATATTCAGACGGCCAGCGAAATTTCATGAGGACATCTGATTGTGTTGTCTTAATTCTTTTTCTTCTTTTTTTAATTTTGTCCCTTCCAAATTTAGTTTTTCACTATGTATTTTTTCTTAAATTTTAGAGCTCGAATTTACATTTTTACCCATAGAAGACTTCGAATCCAGCCAGAGGAATCATTTAATCTCAGGCAAAATGCATGGGATAAGCCCAGGTTCGTTTTTTTTTTTTGGCGCCAAACAGACAATGATGAGCCCAGGTTCTTCGTAATTAGCTTTCATTCAAATATTTTTCTTTAGAAGATTCTCATTCAAAAAATAGATATTGATGAAAAATAAATAGAAATTATATTCAGATTTTAAATTAAAAATACCATACTAAAGCCTGTTGGTTCTTCGTTATTAATAAGGCCATTCTACGCGCTTAGAAGATTTAAGATAAAGTTTGAGCACAAGTAATAGAGTAGTCACAAGCAAGCGAAAGTGTTTGTTGAAAAGGTTATAATTGTTTAAATAGAGCTGTTATTTCAAATAAAATTTCAATAAATGTGAACAAAATTAGAATTAGACTTAACAAAAAAAAAAAAGATTTTTTAAGCGTTGGGGACTTGGGTCTATCCGTGGTTAGCATGAATGTGCCTGAGAACAAGTCAGATCGCTATTACTAAAAAATATTTTGCCTTTTAAATAATATATAAAATATTAATTAATCCTTTTTATTATAATATTAATTAATAATTTAATTATTAGTTTACTTTATATTTATATTAAGATGCCACATATTTTAGTATATTATTATAGATGTTTTTAAACAAATAAAAAAGATCCACATTGTTTTATTTTTATTTTTTTTATTTATAAAATATATTAAAATAATATTCAAAACGTATTTTAATATTAATTTATAAATTTTAGAAGTTAGAAATTTTTTTAAAGATTAAGTCTTCTGTATTTTTAAAATGTCACAAAAATTATATTTTATATTTTTTGATAATGATAGGAATAATTAATTTTAAAGTAAATTCTAAAATTTGTATAAAGATATAAAAATTCACAATTTGAGTATTCATGTCAGACCGAATAAGCTTAAACATTGACATGAAAATTTTAAATTTGACAAATAGTGCTAACATTAATCATTATACATTCAACTTGAAATTTGATAAATCTAACTTTTGACATGTACAATCTTTTAAGCATTGATTTTCAATGATATACTTAGTTGAACAAGGCATTTTTTTTTTTAAAAAAAAAGGAGACCCTCTTCGTGCCCAAAAAAAAAAAAACATATTTGACAATAATGCAGAAATTCAGAGAAACAGCCACTCAGTGAAACAAATCATTTTGTGATAGAATCTTTAGTGTACAAAGTAACTTATAATTTATTTTAGCCACTAAAATAACTTCTAAATTTTGCCACTTTGAACTGATTTATGTTGTTTTTTCTTAGGCTGAATGCATGTGACATCATTTATTGCTTTCAATTAACTAATTACTGCCAAGTATAATTAAGTAACAAGGTAAGTTACTTCTTTTTTCTGTTATCTTCACGTAGTTGTTGAAGTATCATTATTATTTTTTACAAAAAAATTCATCATTATTTTTGAAAATATGCATCTCCAGTAAAATCATGTAACCTTATTCCATCAAAAACCATTCCTTGAGCATATTTCATTAAAAGTATCACATACACATACCATTGGCAAAAATACTTTGTGCTCCTATGAGGGAGTTATTCTAATTGGCTACAACAATGCTAGAATTTGACTTGATCAGATAATTATTAAAAAATTATTTTGTTTTTACGTAATGAAAATGGATAATAGTATGATATATATTTTTAACAAAAAATGCATGGACTTGAACAAAAATTTATAAAAATTTAAATTTTTAACTAAAAAAATTAAATTCAAATTTTTGAAAGGCAAAGGAAAATATAGAAGTAAAGCTAACTATAAACCTATAAAAGTTGGTCCAATTATTAAAGATCTAACTCATAATTGATGATTTATATTTTGTCTAGAGGCCTATGTCTTGCAATTTGCATAGAGTCTCATGTAAGTATACTTCATAACTTATAATGCATAGCTAAATACTGTAAATTTTTTGTTAATTTTACATGAAGAGACATAAATTGATGATTTAAACAAAAGCAGTTTGATATATAAGAGAGACTTTTTTGTTTTTAAGATATGCTCGTAGAAAGGTGGGGCTAATTGTTTGAAAAATCACCATTTAAGGGATTGTTTTCTATTAAGCAATATTTTTCATATGCTCCATCCGATTAAAAATATAAAGCATTTTTTGAAGAGTTAGATGTTAAAAAATGTAAGGCATTTTTAATCATTTGCGGTGTAATCATTGCCTTTTTTTAAAAGTGTCATTATTTATGAATGCCTTTATATTTATTATAGGGTGTTTAATAGGAATAAATATGAAAAGACAAGGTTAATTTGAAAGTAAATAACTATTTAATTAGAGCGAGATTTACTTAAAAATACCTTATATTTTTTAATGGAGGGAGCACACTTCAAAATAATCCAAGCCTAAGGTGATTTAGAATATTTCAGTTTGACATGTATACTCAAACAAAATGATTAACTAACTAAACCAAAGTGATTTGGTGTTCTAGTCCCAGAAAAGGAATATGGAAACAAATATTAGTAAATTGCCATATAAAATAAAACATAAAACAAATTGAAGAAAATAAGCAGGGTAGCTTTGTAAATAAAAACAAACATGTGTCCTAAAACAGAGGAGTGAAAATGAGTGGAACATGTCCAACGTCGTCGTTCACGCCAAAACGCCGTTGTTGCGGAGACCCCGAAACGCCCACCCTCCCAGTCAAAACTCAATCCCATACTTTTCCTCAAGCAAACTCGACAACAGCACCAATATTATTATTAATTAATTAACTCTTAATTCTTAAATTATTTTAGCTTAATTTTTATTTAATTTTCTCTAACCATTTACAACGAAGAATTGAAGACAGAAAGAGAGAGACAGAACAACTCTTTAGATAGAGAAACAAGTTCAACTTTGCTTTTCAGTATATAAATCCTTCCATTTCCGTAGTGAGAGAGAACCAAAAACAAAAAGTGCACAAGAGAGAAACGGAGAGGAACTCTCTCTACAAGATTTGAACCATTTGCTGTTTTCCCTGCTTCCTTTAGAATTTCCATTGAAGCTTTGTACCCATCGTTTTGGCCTCTCTCCGATCCGGGTCGCCGAGTTCCGGTATATCGCGACTCGGTCCTGCCTCGGATGAGCTAGTATCGAAGATCGCTGCGCATTAATCGCCATGGTAACCTTGGACCAAGTGCTTCTATTGATTGTGTGGCGCCTTTGTTTGGTTGATTTCTTTAGCTTGGACTCTTTGAGCTGCTTCGTTGAATCTGTTGGACTTAGGAGTTGTTTTTTTGTTGTTCTGTCGGATTGTGATATTTATGTCTTAGGGATATAATTGAGTTTCTAAACTAGTCTCTTGGTCGTCTAATTTTATTTATCTCTTGATTAATTTTGAATTTTGGTGGGCGACCATGGGGGTTGCATATTTATGATAGCCCATCTATTCTATGTATTTCTAAAAGATAGTGGGCAATGGAGGTTGATGGATATAAATAGGTGCTCAGTAATATTAGGGTAAATATGGGTAGGCAATTGGATGGAGATTAAAATGGACCAGAAGTGTCCAAATTTCGGCTCATTTTCCTAGACATACGATACTAATATATGGTGTTCTATCGACATGTTCTTCTCGTCTACTTAAAATTGTAGAAGGAACCGTTTGGAACATGAAGTGGCTATTTCTGTTACATGTTCATGCTTTATGATAATTTTATAAACGAGGTAAAAACGTCAGTAAGGAATAAATATTTGGTTAAGGAAGGAACCAATTAGATCTGATGAAAGAAAGCTTGCGCTTATTATTATTTTTTTGTTGCTGTTATTTCTCCGTAAATTCCACTGAAGAGTGAAATTTTCGGAAATTAACTTTGAAAGGATACTTCTGTGTCAATGGCAGGATGATGTATAATAAGTCCATCATACTAAAGTAAAATAAATTTGAATCCATCTACTGAATGAATTCCTGCAAATTTGTTGATGCATAGCGTGATTGATAGTTGTGAATATGCGGGCAAAACTTCAGGGATAGGACAGGCAGCATTTCCAAAACCCCTTGCCGTTGCTTCATTTGCATTTGTCCTCAAAAAAGGTCAAAACGGTGGGATGGACCAGTGACAAGAACACGACGATGATTGAATGTCAATTTGTTGCATGTGCATATGATGATTGACGAACTTGGATGCAGATGACATTAACAATGCTAAATGTTGAAACTCATATGTACAGCATCTATCAAGATTGATATTTGATCATGAACATACAATGGCAAATTCTTATTCTCTCATACAACAAATATGATCTGAGCGTTCTTTATGCCTTCTCTCTTGCCAAAATTCACTATGTTTCTTGGTGTCAAAATTAAGTCCATCAAGCTTAAGTTTTAGGGTTTGCCGTGCTATCTGTGGCCCAGAGCACATTTGCTTGCATCTCCTCCTCCTCTTTCATTTTAACAACTTTCCTTAGTTACGTATATTGCTGTGTTAGCTTTTGTGTAGGCATGTAGTTGGTCTTTACCATTTTGTGTATGACTTTTTAAAATTTTAAGCATTATGTGGAATTTTAAATTTTTTGGGAAATGCTATATTTTGAAAATGTATGCGTTATACTATCTTTCTTTCTTTCTTTCTTTCTTTCTCTTTTTAATCTTCATGGTTGGTACTGTATGATGGAGTACTCTGTCTTTATCTTTGCAGTCTGCTCCTGTGAACATTATTGTTGGCTCTCATGTCTGGGTTGAAGATCCAGCACAAGCATGGATTGATGGAGAAGTATTCAAAATCAATGGCAAACAAGTCCATGTTCGCACCACAGATGGGAAGACAGTGAGTCAAACACTACCATCTTTATTGTAAACTTCTGGATGTGAATCAGATTTTCTATAAATTTATTAGCTTGTTTGCTTTGATTCTTTATTCTAGAAATGTCTCTTGGCCCTTGCAATCTCTAGCTTGCTCAAATTCCTTTCAGAATTCATATAAAAAAGTCTAGGAGTTAGGTTGGCTGTTTTAGCTCCAATGCAGGGTTTACCGCAATTGGTGGGTGCCTACCAACCAAAGGACATCAATAAAAAAAATAAACTCAAGACCTTTGGTCAATGCAACTTGATCCAACTGATGGAGCCAAACCTTCGCTTTTCAATCTTCAATTACGGAAATTCAGCACTCTTCCTTGATAATTATCTGCATGTCTTTTTGTTTGACTGAAATTAATGAAGAGTGTTGCAACTTTCAGTATTAGTTCTAACAGTTTGACATTCTGGTTTCAGGTTGTCACAAATATGTCAAAGGTTTTTCCCAAGGATAATGAAGCTCCTCCTGGAGGTGTTGATGACATGACAAAACTGTCATATTTGCATGAGCCTGGAGTTCTGCACAACTTGGCAACAAGATATGAGCTAAATGAAATCTATGTAAGATATTTATGCACTGACTTGCTTTTCACAACAGGAACTTGCTAATAATGTTAACCGTTCTACATTGTTGCAGACATATACTGGAAATATTCTGATTGCCATAAACCCATTTCAAAGATTACCCCATCTGTATGATACTCACATGATGGAACAGTACAAAGGAGCTGCATTTGGAGAGTTGAGTCCCCATGTTTTTGCAGTTGCAGATGTTGCATACAGGTAAACTAGTGGTGTTAATTTGATATGCTTCCTTTATAGTCTCTTGTGGTTAAACTTACTTCCTGGTTATAATTGCTAGAGCAATGATCAATGAGGGTAAAAGCAACTCGATCTTGGTCAGTGGTGAAAGCGGTGCTGGTAAGACAGAGACAACGAAGATGCTCATGCGATATCTTGCTTACCTAGGGGGGCGATCTGGAGTAGAAGGGCGAACAGTTGAACAGCAAGTTCTGGAAGTATGTTGGAGCTTCTTTTCTGTTTCTTGGATATCCCCCTTTTTGTGCACGTCTTTGAGGATGGAGGGCCTAAATCAAGTTTCCTTTACTTCACATTATTTTATCTAGATTGCATATTTTTAAAAGGCACAAGATTGTTCCCTTAATCTTGTTTGTATATTGTTATTTCAGTCTAATCCAGTTCTTGAAGCATTTGGCAATGCAAAAACAGTTCGAAATAATAACTCAAGGTGCGTTTTTACAGCTACAATATCTGGTCAGACTGATCTTACTGTAAACATTTGTGTGTGTGGTCTTTCTTTTTTCTTGTCCTACTTAATCTCTAGCTAAACATATGGTAGTTGAACAAGATGAACCAGGAAAGTTCAGTGGTGGCTGATCCCTATCAATACCCTGAATTTTGAGTTCTCTTTTCTGGCATTATTGTTTAATGATTTAGCAAACCAATTGTATTAGTAGAAAATGGGTTCTATTATTTTCACTTTCATGATTAATATAACATTTTCTTCTCATGTTCATCCTAATATTGACATGCAGTCGTTTTGGTAAATTTGTTGAGATCCAATTTGATCACAAGGGAAGAATCTCGGGGGCAGCCATACGAACGTACTTGCTTGAGAGGTCTCGTGTTTGTCAAATTTCAGATCCTGAAAGAAATTACCATTGCTTTTACCTTCTTTGTGCTGCACCAGCTGAGGTGATAATTCTCTTTCATGATATTGAAACGAGTCATGTTCTTTTTCTCATGGATTGGCACCTATCCTGCTATATTGTTGTACATTATGCACTATGCTAAACTCTTAATTTTGCAGGTAAAAGAGAAGTATAAACTCGGAAGTCCTAGTTCCTTCCATTACTTAAATCAATCAAAGTGCTATGAATTGGATGGAGTGGATGATGCAGATGAATATCTCGCTACTCGAAGGGCAATGGATATTGTTGGAATTAGTGAGGAAGAGCAGGTTAGTTTTCCGAATCCTATTTCCTAATGTAATTTAAGTGATCTCTTTGTGAAGCTTCTTTTATGATAAATGACAATATATTTCAGGAAGCAATTTTTAGGGTTGTGGCAGCAATTCTTCACCTTGGGAATATTGAATTCTCAAAAGGAGAGGAGATTGACTCTTCTGTCATCAAAGATGAGAAGTCTAGATTCCATCTTAACATGACTGCTGAACTTCTTAGGTATGCACAATATGATCCTCATCTACTTTTCAGATGCAGTGCTATATTATAGTTTCATATTCTGTAGTCTGTGCATTGAATTTTTTAAAATTACTGCAGGTGTGATGCTAAGAGTTTGGAAGATGCATTGATCCAACGTGTGATGGTAACACCTGAGGAAGTTATTACAAGGACCCTAGATCCTATTGCAGCTGTTGGTAGCAGGGATGCATTGGCTAAAACCATTTATTCACGCTTATTTGATTGGTAATGAACCTCAGGCTCTAGCCCTATTTCTGTACTGTATGCTCTGTTTCATATCGTGCGAACTACCATAACTTGTGCATATAAAAGGGAGAATTACATGCAAGTCCCACACAACATATTTAATCATCACAAGGTCCATTGTTAACTAAGCTCAGTTTTCAATGGAGCTTATAGTATTTAATTGTGTTGGGTGGAACCTCAAAGTAATTCTCCCAATTTTATAAAGATAGACATAAGCAAATTCATTATTGTTAGTGGGCTGAATATGGACATTTGAATAAGGTTTTCAATTGGGAATTTATTTAACTAGTGATAGATTGCATATTTTGGAAAGACAATAATCATATTCATATAGTTAAAAGATCCACAGGGAAACTATTTATTGTCATCAGTAGTTCTCCAGGAAATCATTTTTTTTTTGGGTGGTTGAATCACCGTTTTTCTAGCTTACATTTCCTTCAATGTTTTATGTTCTGTCATTTTTACGATTTTTTGGTTTTTTTTCTCCTTTCTTTCAGGCTTGTGGAAAAAATTAACATTTCAATAGGGCAAGATCCAAATTCAAAATCTATCATTGGAGTTCTTGATATCTATGGATTTGAGAGTTTTAAGTTCAACAGGTAAGCCATTGCATTCAAGTTGTGTTATGGTATTCAGCCTTATATCTAATGATTTCTTTTTCTAAAAGTTTTGAGCAGTTTTGTATTAATTTTACAAATGAAAAGCTGCAACAACATTTTAATCAGGTTTGTTAATTATTTATGGATTTTGATCTGTATTTTGTAATTCTGTTTTTAACCCGGATAATTAAGGTTTTTCTGATGGGGTGATTGCAGCATGTCTTTAAAATGGAACAAGAAGAATATACCAAAGAAGAGATTGATTGGAGTTACATTGAGTTTGTCGATAACCAAGATGTTTTGGATCTAATTGAGAAGGTTTCTTACTGTTGCTACATTATTAATCTTTCCTATGTAAAAAATGTGATTTACTTATTGCCTGTTTTTGGCATGAGATGTGCTTTTTTGGATATTCTGAAAGGAGAAAACTTGTGTATTTACCATTATATATTTAAGGAGTGTGCTTCCAATCAACTCAAACATGTAGATTTTTTATATATTATTTATGCCCCGTTTGATACAGAGAAGTGTTTTTGGTGGAAGTGGAGGTGGAGGTAGAGGTGGAAGTGGAGGTGGGTTTAAAAGCATGTTTGGTATGCAGATAGAAGTGGAATAAAAATTTTATTTAATAAATATATTTATATTTTAAAAGACCAAAATATAAATTTTTTTGACAAAAAAAAAAAATGCTTCATCTTCTCCCTATCCTTCCCAACCAGCCCTACACCAGTCATGACTGTTATCCAAAATATTCAACACCCAACAAACCCAATAAAGATGAACTCCCACTTTAATTCAGGGAGCACATGAACCAGATTTGAGGGAAAAAAAAGAAAGAAATAAAAAAAAAAAACTGTAGTGTTTTGCATTTCCCCTTCCTCGCTGTGAACCCTTTGAATCCTCACAGCCAAGCCCCTTTGTTGTTGTGAATCACCATCTTGAAGAAAAACGAAAGATTGGAGCAAAGTTTAAATAATTTGTGGACCTATGGAGAGAGAAGATGAGGAACTAGATTTGGATCCATGAGAGAACCGTTGTGAACCGCTATTGAAGAACAAAAAATTATGGAATCAAATGTAAAAATCAAATTTGTTGGTTGTTTTAGGAGCGTGCTGTTGAACATTGTCCTGGACCATCTCCATCAATCTGGAGCATGCTGCTGAACATAGTCCTTCTTCTTCATCGTCATCCTTTGGTTGTTCTCGGAGAGAAGGTGATGGGGTAAAATGGTCAGATATGAAATTTCAAAGAAGTGGAACCTAACTCTTTTGGCTTGGGTGTGGAACTCAGGTACATCAAATTTGATGGAACTGAGTTCTTTGAGAAGCCACTTCAAGCATACCAAACATGCCAAATTTTGAATTCCACTTCCACTTCTTCCGCTCCAATTCTCTGGTACCAAACGAGGCATTAGTATTAAGGCTAAGTACCTAAATCTTCTTTCTGAAACATATATAGTGGAGCAAATGTCATTGAATTGTCATATTTAGTTTAGGCATATGCATGCATTTGTTTGCATTTCTTGTGTGAAAAATGATGGAGGTAGTGATGATTATTCTATCTTATTTAATCCTTTTCAGAAACCTGGAGGAATAATAGCACTCCTTGATGAGGCCTGGTATGCAACTGATAGAGATTTAATCCTTTATTTGGCACTGCTTTTAATGGCAAGCTATTTTCATTGTCAAGAGAAGGATATGTTATGGATTTATAAGCATGCATTACCTGATTTTCATCCTTTGGTTGGACTCATTTTTGCTTGGTTGCTTGACACAGTATGTTTCCTAAGTCCACACATGAAACATTTGCTCAGAAGTTGTACCAGACATTCAAAAACAACAAACGCTTTGTCAAACCCAAACTTTCTCGTACAAGTTTCACCATATGTCATTACGCAGGGGAGGTAGATATATTAAACACATTTATTTTACATGTTTCCATTGATTTCTTTTTTAATCATAACTTGTTTCTTCAACATCTTTCTTCTCACATTTTGTTTACCATTTTCTTGCCCAGGTACTCTACCAGGCTGATATGTTTCTCGACAAAAACAAGGATTATGTGGTTGCAGAACATCAGGCTCTACTGACAGCCTCAGAATGCTCGTTTGTGGCTGGTCTATTCCCACCTTCTCAAGAGGAGTCATCAAAATCATCCAAATTCTCATCAATTGGATCACGCTTCAAGGTATTATCATCCCTTTGTCTCCTTTTGGAATGTATATAGGTATTGATGGAATCTCACTTTGAAATAGCCACAGGTAGTTTTTCTGGTACTTGAGTGGCATGGTTCTTGCCGCTCACAAGCCAGTTTTTAAGGGTTGGTTTTCCATACTTGCTTATACCTTAGGGATCTGTCTTCTCACTTTCTGAAAGCTGAACACTATGCTTGCTTAGCGATGAGAAATGAAAATATATATATATATATATATATAGCATGCTGAAACTGACATGTGCATGATAACATAAAAAAGGGTCTTCCTATCTCTAATCACCGGTGGTAGTAGCATATTGAGATATTCCTGAAATTATTTTAACTCTGTCAGTTTTTAATTTCTGCGTATTTTGATTCTTATTCAGTTACTTTATTTTGATGCATTTTATTTCCTGATTGGGATTTGATGGCTATCTTCTATGCTTCTTTCTCCTAGCTATGTTCTTTTCTTCCCTGGAATGAAGTATATGAATGCATGAACAATTATAGAAGTAGGACATGCTGATTAATTGCCTATATGGCACTGGGGTAGGGCTTTTCTGTTGCTGATTGCAAAGTTATTTTGGACAGTAAATAATCTAGCTAGTTCTTATTCAATTACTTGCTAAATGGTGATAACTGTTGTATATGCATATGCTGAGAAGCCATGGGAACCTAGACACCCTTGAAATACAAGGCTGGCAAAACCACAAGAATATGTCATAATAGTCACGGATATCATCATTTGAGTTCACAAGTGCTTCAACTTTTTGCTCAACTTTTAGTTTGATCTTCCTCTTTGACATGGTGTTGCTTGGTAGTCTTGCATGGTATTTATTTGCGACTCTGGCCCTTAATGATACAGTCTCAGCCATCTCTTTATCAACTGATGTATCTGGGCCATTTTATTCTTCAATAAGTGAATGACTTGTGTTTCTTAAAAATGCAGTTACAACTTCAATCTTTGATGGAGACCTTAAGTTCAACAGATCCTCACTATATCAGATGTGTGAAACCAAACAATGTCCTCAAGCCTGCTATTCTTGAAAATGTCAACATTATCCAACAATTGCGCTGTGGTGTGAGTATATCACCATGTTTTTTTTTTTTGTCTTCTTCAGCTTTAATATTTAAGCATGCAAAGTTACAATATATTTGACATCTATCTATTCTTGTTGATTGGTTATCACATTATTTTTACTGCAGGGTGTGCTTGAGGCAATTAGAATCAGCTGTGCTGGATATCCTACTAGACGGACCTTTTATGAGTTTCTTAACCGATTTGGTGTTCTTGCCCCTGAAGTTTTGGATGGAAAGTAAGTCTCATTTTGTATGGGCTGTATTTGTCTTTGGCTTGGTTAATTGCTTTTTTATTCCAGGAAAAACGTAATGTCTGGTATATCTCTGATTTCTAGAGCATCCAATGTACTGCTTTACCTGTAGTTTAATTCTCACTCCTGCTTTTCATCTCTATACTAGTTAACTGTTTCTACTTATTCCTTTTCAGCTATGATGATAAAGTCGCATGCCAAATTATCCTAGATAAAATGGGTTTGAAAGGCTACCAGGTGATTCAACTGCTTCTTGTAGCTTGATATGTTTATAATTGCGCATGGGAGGGACAAGACTTGAAACTGAAAGTTGAGAATAAGCCAAGCACTGCTATTTGGCTGAATAGATGATACTCTTCACAATGTGGAATATTTGAATTCAGTAGTTTAAGACTTGTTCATATTAAGGAGATAGCTGACTATGAATCAACCACCCACTCTCATAAATCAAGCGAAAAATCATAAAAAAAAAGTAATAGAGATCACATGATGCATGGAAATAAAAAAGAAAAGAAACAAGTTGACTTTGATGCTAAAGTCCCATGTGATAAACAAGGGACGATCAGAGAATGAAAAATCTGATCATAATGAGCCTCTAATCATGAGATTCCAACACATAACAATCTGTGAATTGTTTTTTAATTGATGTATTGGGGATGGGGTCAGTCTGCTGCTTAGCATGTGCAGCCAAAATTAATTTTCTGATTAGAAGAGTGCACGGTTGTGATACTGATGTATTTGCAGTACTCAGAAAATTTTGGGACTAATAGAAAACTTTGAATATCACACAGCCACAGTGCCATGACGCATCATTAAAAAAAAAAACAAAGAAAGAAAGGGAAAACTTTGAATTAATCCTTTACTATGTCATGCAGGCTTACCTTAGGGATAAAAATTCAAAAAAAAGGAAAAAATAATAAAAATGAGCCACAATTTTTTTGCCATAGAAAATATGGTTTATTGAGTTTTTAAAGTTGTATATTTATAATTTTTCCAACATACAGTCATACATACGTATATATATTCCAGTAGTTCTTGATGTTGGTTACTGTATGTAGGAACTCCTGGATCTGTTTATTTGTTTGCGTGCTTTGGTCTTAAAGGTTGCTTAGCTTTGAGTTATTTTACCATATCATGTGGAAGTCTATGCTAATGCACTCTGTTACTTCCATTCTCACTGTTTATGATGCTTTGACAGATAGGCAAGACAAAGGTTTTCCTAAGAGCTGGTCAGATGGCTGAGCTGGATGCAAGAAGAGCTGTGGTGCTTGGAAATGCAGCAAGAACTATCCAAAGACAAATATGCACCTATATTGCACGCAAGGAGTTCATTGAATTGCGGCAAGCTGCAATTTACTTGCAATCTAACTTGCGAGGTATCCAGATTTTTGTCTTAAAGGCCGCCTTCAATTTTTCTTTGCTTCATTGTTTGGGAAATTTTGAACCTTTAGCACAACTCTGTCTACTGGTCCGTTTTTTATATTCAGGTACTGACAGATGATTGTAAATCTCCCGAGTTTTTGTGCCATCCAAAGTTTAATAAAGAATAGAACTTTGAATGTGTCATCAAATTTTTGATTCAAGTGTTCATATTTGACCTATTAGGAAATCCAATTTTGAATTTTGGGAGTCTTACTGCTTGGTGTTATAGCTGTCTGCGCATATCATTAAATGTGCGTGTTTCTTGGGGGATTAAGTCATAAAATGTCCTCTGGTTTTTACTTCTTGCAAGTGTAGTATGTCACAGATGAAGCATGCTACTTGAACCAAGAAAATATGGCGGCATTACTGTTACTAGAATTTTGAAAGCTAGCTTTAGTCTTATATAACTGTCTGAGGCATTAGTAGAACTAGTCTTGTTCTCCTGACAACTTAAGCTGTCATGATGAAATGATTTTTTAACATGGTATTGGTGCCTCAATGACTCCGTGCTTGAGTCAATCCTTACTGCTCTTGCGAAAGGTCAACATTTTATGGTCAAAACAATATTGCAGAAAACATGCAGTTGTGTTCCATTTGACGGTACTGAACTTGTGGTCATAGCCAGTACCCACAAATAAAAAACTGTTAATTTCTATGTTTTGGATGCTTGATGATGGGTTGTGATTGAGGTTTTTGTTGGCACAAGATAAGTTGTTAGAGGAAGTTCCAGCTGTAGCAATTGTCATAGCTCTAGATTCTCAAAAGTTTGCTCCTCCATGATGTAGGGGCCTGGACTTGCTAACATGAAAACTAGTAGGGCTGAAGTGAGACTAGGACCATGTAGAAAGATCCACTGGTTTGCAAAGCTCACGTGGAGCAACTATGAAAGTGATTTGAACTCATGAATACTCAAATTTTCAAGCTAAAACAATGCATGATAAATCAGTCTTATTACTGACATTTGTCTTGTTTCTTTGGTCACTAAGCCTATATTTCATTAAACCTCTTGTCCGTAAGGTGTTCATACCATTCTAAAATTTATGCTGCAGTGAAATACTTAATTATTTCTGGTAAAATAGGTTCTTTTTATCCATATCGGTTTACCTACATAAACTCATTTCTTAATGTGGTGTTCTTTTGGTTCAATTTGATAATGGATAGGCATATTGGCTCGGAAGCTGTATGAGCAGTTGCGGCGTGAAGCAGCAGCTGTGAAGATAGAGAAGAATTTCAGAGGATACATTGCAAGGAAATCTTACCTAACAGCACGATCATCTGCAATCACATTACAGACAGGTTTAAGGGCTATGAAGGGCCGTGATGAATTTAGATTTAGAAAGCGAACAAAGGCTGCAATTATTGTACAGGTGCTCGTCTATCTATCATCTTTATCATTTGTAGACTTTGTTGAGAAGACATGAACCCTGTTTTATTTTCCATGTGTATTTGTATGTGTCTTACTTCTGTATAATTTTGCCATCTCATATAAATATCTTTTGTGAAAAAATTTTGCAGGCTCGCTTGCGTCAACATATTGCACGTTCTTATTATAGAAGACTGCAGAAAGCTGCAATTGTTACTCAATGTGGCTGGAGGAGAAGGGTTGCTAGGAGGGAACTCAGAAAACTTAAAATGGTTAAAATGATAATTTATTTTTAATGCTGTTTGTGTTGCTTGAGAAATGACTTAAGGATCTTATAATTTGTCCAACTTCATTTAGGCTGCAAGAGAAACAGGGGCTCTTCAAGAGGCAAAGAACAAACTAGAAAAGCGTGTTGAGGAACTTACATGGCGTTTACAAATTGAAAAGCGTTTGAGAGTAATTATCATATTTTATATTTATCAAATTGCTTTCTTGATTGGTGACATGATTGTTGCAAATCTCATGCCATGATAATTTTATTTTATTCTTTTTATAGACTGATTTGGAAGAGGAAAAAGCACAAGAAATTGCCAAGTTAAAGGATGCATTGCATGCGATGCAAATGCAAGTTGAAGAAGCAAATGCCAAAGTCCTCAAAGAACGTGAGGCTGCTCGGAAAGCAATTGAAGAAGCACCCCCAGTTATCAAGGAGACTCCTGTAATAATTCAGGATACTGAAAAGCTTAATTCCTTGATGGCTGAAGTCAATAGTTTGAAGGTATAAAATCATTATTCATTTAATTTTTACACCATTCATTCACATTTCCTCTTATAGTATTTTAAAAGTTTCATATGAAAAAAGTTTGATAAAAAAGACTGATGGCTACTTTCTTTAACTGAAACATCTGACCATTTATTTAGGTTACATGAATATTTTAACTATTTTTTTCCTTAATTCATTTGTTGTTGTCTTGGACTTTATGCATCATTCCTGAGATATTTTGATTTAAACAATCATAATTGCATGTTTATGCAGACAACTTCTGGAATTGAATGGGTGATTTCGATTTGAAATTGAAGTTATATGGCTTCATTTAACTCACACATTATGATAATTGGATGGGGACATTTGGATTCTGGATTTATATTTCAACGCTTCTTTATGCCTAGAGAAAGGGGAGAAGGAAATCAGTTAGTAGCATATGATTTCACAGGGTGCTTAGTGCTTACAACATACCGAGTGCTTGATTTAATTTTCTGTCATACAGGAGTCATTGATAACAGAAAGAGGGGCTAAAGAAGAGGCCAGAAAAGCTCATGCAGATGCTGAGGCTAGAAATGCAGAGCTGGTTAAGAAAGTAGAAGATTCTAGTCGCAAAGTGGATCAACTTCAGGAATTGGTTCAAAGGTCAGTCAAAAGCTTTTGGGGGGAGGGGCGGCTTAAAAACCGACTTTTAACTATTCCACAATTGCATCCAGCCTACAATATTGCATGAGAAACTCAGGTTTAGGTCCTATCAGCACTCTCAATTTCCCCCTTTACTTTTCATAAATTGGATTGACAGTTCACAAGATTTAATTATTTATTTATTTTGATAGAAAAAGAAGTTTTGTTATGCAAGGGGTATTACAAGAGAGTAGGGTACGAAGTACCAACACTTTAAACAACCATGAGCATATCACCAAAGGGAAGCTGGAAGAACTAACCTTTCTCTTATGTCATTTAGAGTCGTCAAATCACCTTTAAAACTCTTGGCATTCCTTTCTGACTAAATACACCGACACTGCTCATGGACCCTAAAAGAAGGAAATCAAGTGGGAAAAAAGAAATCCAATTGGTTTACTTATTGCCATGATAGTGAGTTATGATCAATTTCAGGTGCTGTAGGCATTTTTGGTGTCTTGAGGGTTCAGCCTGTTCAATTAACGTCTTAATTTCTATTTTTGGTAGCCCCAAAGTTAATGTCTCCTTTCAAATAAAGTGAGTTCTTAGAACTTGATGAGTCTACACATGTCTTCAGTTCATTTGCAACTTCCTCTGATTTGTGTCTTCTATTCCCTAAACTTCCCCCACCAAGCATCCAAGGACTTGTATAGTTTGTCTTTCGGCTGTCATTGTCATCAATTATTATCTTACATTTGTACTTGATCTGTGAATTTTTTTTTTGACCCTTAAAGCTGCATGCATGAAACAGCCTATCTTCTAACTTTCCCCATAATCAGCCATCTTCAACTTTCTTAATTTAAAATTGTTTTTAAAATATTTCTCAATGTATCAGATTGGAAGAAAAAATATCCAATTCAGAGTCAGAAAACCAAGTTCTTCGCCAGCAAGCATTGGCTGTATCACCAACTGGAAAAGCTCTATCTGTGAGACCAAGGACTGTGATTATACAGGTAAAGGCAAGGGATGAGCATTAGGTCATTTGCCTGCATTGCTTTCATGAATAGAAATTTACAGTGAGGTTTTGTGCACAATTGGCAGAGGACGCCAGAAAATGGAAATGCTTTAAATGGACCTGCAATGGTAGTACTCTTGCTTTTGGTGAATGCATATCAGTAATGTTTTTGGCAGTGGAAGATTTTGTTTAATTTTGAAATTATCTCCTTCTGTGTCCTTTAGGATATGACTCTTGCAGTATCAAATGTACGTGAACCTGAATCTGAGGGCAAGCCACAAAAATCTCTCAATGAGAAACAGCAAGTGAGTGGCTTGTTAGATGCTATAGACTATCTAAACTTTGTTGAGTATTTTGAAGGGAAAATGACAATTGAAGACCTTGTTAGAAGATCAGTGTAAAATGAGGGTCTTTAAGGTTGTAAACGTAGAAGTTTGAGCTGTAAATTTTGAAGTTTCAGTTGTGTCCAAGTCCTGATTCTACATTGATACTCTTACTAGGTCCTTAATTGTCAGCCACCCTCTTTTGAATTGTATCGTCAATTTTTTTTAATCCTTTTTTCTCAATCTTGCCATTTCTTACTATCTCATTTTCTGGGTCAGGAAAACCAGGACTTGTTGATCAAGTGCATATCACAAGATTTGGGATTTTCTGGTGGCAAACCGATTGCTGCATGCATGATCTATAAATGTCTTCTTCACTGGAGATCATTTGAAGTTGAAAGAACAAGTGTTTTTGACCGTATCATTCAAACAATATCCTCAGCTGTTGAGGTAACTTGCACTTTTTGATTATTTGAGCATTCTTCAAAATAATGTGCTTTTCATTAATAATTGCTTATACCAATTCTGAAATACTACAGATATTTTACTAATAATGATTTCTGGAACATTAAAGGCACAGGATAATGCTGATATGTTAGCCTACTGGTTGTCTAATACATCAACTTTGTTGTTGCTTCTCCAACGCACTCTCAAAGCAAGTGGGGCAGCTAGCTTAACACCACAAAGACGGAGAACAGCCTCAGCTTCTCTGTTTGGAAGAATGTCTCAAGTATGAAATTGGAAGCAACCGTTTATCAGTATCTACTTCCTGAAGAAACTCTCATCAGTTGATGAATTTGTTGTCCTTTCTGTGATGTTAGGGGCTACGGGCATCTCCTCAAAGTGCTGGTTTGCCATTTCTAAATGGTAGAGGGCTCAGTAGACTGGATGATTTAAGGCAAGTGGAAGCAAAATACCCCGCTTTGCTGTTCAAGCAGCAGCTTACGGCCTTCCTAGAAAAAATATATGGAATGATAAGAGACAACCTTAAGAAGGAGATATCTCCATTACTTGGATTGTGTATACAGGTAGACTTTTCAGGTTACTATTTTATGAATGCTAGTGACAAATGACAAGTGAAATTTTAGGCAAAAGCACACTTTTGATCCTCTAATTTTACACGAGGTTTCAATTTGATCTCTTAATTTTATAAAATGATCTTTTTAGTCCTATAATCCTAATACTATTAATGAAATTAATAGAAAATGTTTGCTCTACAATTTTAAATGGTGACAAAGCATGCTCAAATACTGATCCTTTAATCCAATCAAATCTAAGATTAATGAATAAATGAATGAGTTGCCTATTACTATTAATGTCAGTATTTGTGAATGCTTTGCCAGCATTTAAACTAGCTTCATCATCATTTTCTATTAATTAGATTAATAGTATTAGAGTTAGAGGACTAAAAAGACACTTAATAAAATTAAGGGAACAAATCAAAACCTTTTATAAATTTAGAAAACCAAAAGTGCACTTTGCCAAAATTTTATTGTACTTCTCTAATATTAAGGTTTTGCAGCAATAGGCATTCGTGTGTGTCATTAGCAAACAACAAATTTCTGTTACCTGTAACCAATATTTTATGAAGTCCAAAAGGCCATTATTATATGTTTGTATTCAAATTTGTCAATATAATTTTTCGTAGTATATCAATGACACTGTAAAAAGTATGTGTACGTGTAACAAGACAATATGCTTTTAGTGAATGCTAACTAGAAAAGAAAACATTTTCCCCATTTTAAAGGAGAATTTCTAAAGAATATCATGTAGGTGACGGATTTTCATATGCTACTTTGCAGTAACGAGTAATCCCAAAATCATTAGTAGGTTGATATGCATGTCCACGGTGTATGCAAGCAGTCACGTGGGTTTGAGTTGAAAGTAATTGACAAGCACAGTTCTGAGTTCATATATCTGTTTAAGCTTCATTTTCATTTTGACAAAACAAATGCAGGCTCCAAGAACTTCACGTCAAGGTTTGGTGAAAGGACGCTCACATGCTAATGCAGTTGCACAACAAGCTTTAATTGCTCACTGGCAAAAAATTGTGAACAGCTTAAACAACTCTCTGAAGATAATGAAAGCAAACTATGTGAGTTCTAATGTTTCGCATGTAATTCCTGCATTTCCGTTCTTGCCCAAAGATAATATTTATTAAGGTTCTTTGTTCTTAGGTGCCCCCGTTCTTGGTCTGTAAAGTGTTCACTCAAATATTCTCATTCGTTAATGTTCAACTATTCAACAGGTACTTTCTTCCCCCCTGCACCCCCCCTCTCCATTCTCTTCTACCTGCATTACATATATATTGTATTGCTGCAAACAAAATGCTGTCATTTTCATTGACTTACTATGATCACATCTGCAGTCTTCTGTTGCGTCGTGAGTGTTGTTCATTCAGTAATGGGGAGTATGTAAAGACAGGTTTGGCTGAATTAGAACAGTGGTGTAATGAGGCAACAGAGGAGGTGGGCATCGAGCACCTTTTATATTCTGTTTAATTTTTTTCCCCATTTTAGGTCTCCACCTGAACTCTCTTATTTGCAGTATGCTGGTTCAGCTTGGGAGGAACTGAAGCATATCAGGCAGGCTGTTGGGTTCTTGGTACAAAAGATTTTTCATGGAAATAGAATTTTGATTTAATATTGATGCTTTCCTCTTAATCCATTGTCTGCTACTATTCTTGTATTTAGGTGATACATCAAAAACCCAAGAAGACCTTGAATGAAATTACAAAGGAGCTTTGTCCTGTGAGTGCCTTTTCTTCTCTATTTTTCCTTTTTCTAAATTTACTCTCTGATTCACATCGCAAGATATACTATGGTGCTGCAGGTTCTCAGCATACAACAGTTATACAGGATCAGTACAATGTACTGGGATGATAAATATGGCACGCACAGCGTGTCTTCAGATGTAAGCTAATGTCTCTAATTTTAATAATCTGCTTACAGTATTTATAGATGCTAGTAGTTGTGTCTTTTATAACTCCTTGAGTGCATTTTTTACACGGATCTCTTCTCTTTGATTGTGTAGGTTATTGCAAAAATGAGAGTCATGATGTCTGAAGACTCTGGCAATGCTGTCAGCAGCTCTTTCCTACTGGATGATGACTCAAGGTACGGCAAAAGCTTCGATTGTTGCGTATACTAGCTATTTAATTCCTCCCCAGTTGCTGGCCTCCATTTTGCTTTAATATCCAAAAATTCATAACATGAGATCAACTTGTTGCATGTCTCTTTCGATGATCTGGAATCACTTAACAAATGATTGGGGTGGGCTTTACAGATTGTATGACGCCATTGTACTCTATCAACAACCAAATTTTTGAAAATATTGTTAGCTAAAAGATTCCTTTCAATAATTTTATTGAGTGTTTTCTTTGGTCTTCCTCTACCTTTTCTTCACAGTACTCTATTGTTTGACCCTTCTCACCAATGCCTCTATTGGTCTTCTCTGAACATGTTCAAGTGATCTTTAGATGATTTTCAATCATATTCTCTACAATAGATACCCACACCATCTTAGAGAATTTTCACAACTGGGGGGCAACCATTTTTTTTTTTTTTTAAATGCTAGAGCTGAATAGGCCTAACAGTTCAAGGGTCATAATATTAGTTTATTCATTCATGTACATGATCGCCAATCATGGTTTTGACTATCACATTCAATCTTGAAATGCGAATGCAGCATCCCGTTCTCAGTAGATGACATCTCCAAATCCATGCAACAAGTTGATGTATCTGACGTGGATCCTCCTCCATTAATACGCGAGAACTCAGGATTCGGGTTCCTTCTAGCACGTTCAGAGTGATACAAAATATTCATGTCAATTATTGCTCTTCGTCTCTTTGGCTCTCCCAGTACAACACAAATTGCAGGTTCTAAAAATTGTTTATATAATCTCTTTGATGGTAATATGTACAGTATACTTTCACCAACCCAGGCTTCTGATATTGGTTTGTTGCCTGGGTTACTTCATTTTTACCCCTCAAGTTTTATCGACAAAGAGGGTTTCTACTTTTTCCTTTTGTTAAAGCCATGTTTGCATGGGTTGTAATGCATGGCAATTATAGGTAAGGGTTAGTGTCCAGGCACATCTGTCACACCTGCCCATGGTCTTTTTATGATTATTGTTTTATTTTTTGGGGGAGAAATGGTTTCTCTTTCCTCTTATTGTTGGTGGTTTTCTAGTGTTACAGTTAGGTGTAATTTAGTGACGTTAGATCATTTGGGTGTAATTTTGTATTTGTCATGATATTTTTTGGTGTTAAATTGAAATATCAGATAGGTTTTTTTTTTTTTTAATGGGCTGAGTTATCATTAAAAAAATGACTCAGTACAACTGTACATACCCCACATTATTTGTTTAAATTTTTATAGTTTCAATTTCAGCTTTATTAGAATCTGCCTTCCTCAGAATCACATGAAAAATGATCGGCTATTTCCTTTGTGCAAATGAATGACAATTTCTTCTTCTTTTCACAATTCTTGAGTTTTATGGCCAATATATTTCTCATCTGAATTCTTGAATTTATTTTTTTATGATAACTAATTTGTGAGTTGGGTTCCGAGAATTGATTAAGTTCATGGCATATTTTCAAGCTTAAGGAGCACTTGTAGAGGTTAGAGATAAAAGTTGAGCTAACAAAAATAATTACAAGTGTCCAACAATCGTGGTTAGCTTGCAATAGCAATGACTTGGACTAACTTATCTTGACAAGGAGTTTTTATGGCTTTAACAACAACTTTAGATATTTTAATAAAACTTAAGTTGCGTGATGGAGGTTATCATGTAGTGTCCTATGTGTATTGCTTTTCCTGTCATTTTGTTAGAAACCGTATGTGGTTTGCTTGAGAAACAATAATGCGAGAAGCAAACAACCATCGCTTGACAGCAAATTAATAGGTCAAATATCTGTATCTGTAAAATAAAATATAATTTTACAAGAGGTTTTTCAAATAAAAATATTTAATACTATAATCCATAAAAAGATGCTACAGTATTGATAAGCCTTGAATAATGTAACTTGAACTAGACTCTGCCACTGTGCGATGCACAAGGACACGATGCTATTTTCTTTTGACGGCATTATTCATGCTAATTTTTGTGGTCAACCGAAAATAATTTCAACATTATTTATTCTAACAAAGATGTTTTTGTAGAAATTATGTTATTTAGAAGATTTGAACTTGAGAGAGAGAGAGAGAGAGAGAGAGAGATTGTATGTTAAGAAAGAAGTGAGCTTATTTTTTTCAAAAATTTTCGAGTGGCAGATGAAATTAAAAAGTTCTGACAGCGAAATATATGCATATTAACCTATGCAATATTAAAAGAAGTACAGCCCTGCCAATGAAAATCAATTTTATAATGACTATTTATTTTTAGATTTTAAAATTTAAAACATTTATAAAATTTAAAACAGATGTATATAAAAACATTTAAATAAAAATAACGGTTACCGATTAAATGATGACACTTCAATGTCATACTTACTATTGTTTTTACTGTGCAAAAAACAATAGCAAAGTTTATATTTTGGAAAAGAAAAGATGCATGAGACTAATATCTAAAGCTAATCATATTTAAATAATGCAAAAACATAATAATACATCCTTCCCTTTTTATAAAATCCCTTCTAGAAACTTCTGTTATTTCAAATTATTAGATCCATTCTGAAATATAGTGAAGCATATCTTGTATTCTTTCTTTTCAAAAGTGCTCTTTATTATTGGGTTGCAACCATATTTATTGCAGAAAGAGAGAATTGCTTTGATACTTCATACATGAAATGGTATCTTTGGAATGTTGATCAAATTTTTGAAGAAATTAAAACACGTAACTAAGTTTAACTGAATTTCTTGATCTGCAAAATTTGTTTATAGAGATCTTACAAAATAGAATTGAGAGCATGTTCCTTTTTATTCCCAAATGGATAGACGCTATCTTCTCTTTAACCATAAAGAGAGAATTGTTAGCTTATTGGCTTGCAACTTTAATTCTTTCACAGTGAAAGGTAGACCAAACCTTCATAGTTTCATGTGCTTTCTTTTGATCACAATATTGAAACATTCATAACTTTTTTTTGGGACAGAATAGAGTATTAATAACTGTTTACAGTTTTTTTAAAAAGATAAATAAAATCTTATCTAAAAAAATTTACATCTTTCTAATTATACTCTCATTAAATATCTTTTATATAAATGTTTTAATAGTAACAATTAAAATTTCATTGCATTATTTTTTTAGACTAAATTATACATTACTTTCTTAAACTTTGAATCACAAACGCTCGGCCTCTTTTTGACCTTTAAAACTATATAATAAATCCCCCTCAACTCTTATATTTATGCAACTAACTCTATGTAATTAATTTTATACATTAATCATTACATATAACTTAAAATCTATAAAGGTTATTCTATAAAAGTTATTCATGTATCAATTAAAATTTGAAAGTTTAAATGTATGCAAAATAAAGTTTAAAAAGAGATATGATTGATGGCTAAAAGTTATTTGCATAAATCTAAAAGTTCAAGAAGATTTATTATTAAGTTTTGAAGATTAAAAAAATTATTTATACATGATTTAGAGTCTAATTTTTTTTTGCATAATTTAGCCTTATAAAAAAGAATAATACATAAAGGTATAATTGAAAAAATAACTGTAAAAATCACTTAATCTTCTATATTTTAGATCAAATAAAATTTTTAAAAGAAGCTCTACATTTTGGTATGAAAAGTAATTATATTCATTTAACCCGAGTAAGACTTGCCGCAAGGAGAATATTGATCATTTTGTACAGCCAAAAAAAGAAAAAACTGCAATATCCTTCCACTAGAGTGAAAATGGAAAGTGAAAAATTGATTTTGACGCATATTGATCATTTTGTTCTGCCTCTTCATCACCCTGATTCTCCATCAAAAAATACAAGCCCCATGCAAAAACCTCCAAATTGGACTTTTAGCCAACAAATTAGAGGGAATACGAGAGGGAGAATATCACTGTCCAAAGCTTTCACAAGAACAAGGGAACACTAAAGCACACATATTGACAATGTGTAATATATGCGTACATTCACATAGTGGTATTTCCTGAACCACTGAGCAGTAAAACAAATACAGCGCATCCCAAAAAAAAAAAAAAATACTTGATCTACATGGTACAACTAGTTTCATACCTCTTTAGATGCATTTCCTGACTGATTTGTTGAACTTCTAGCACTTCCCTAAAACCATGAATGATATTAATCAATCTTCATGGTTTTGAACAGTTTGCGTCTCTGATTTCTTTTTCTCCTTGAGAATCGCCTGCCTAGGCATTACATCTAACAGGAAGCTCCCTCCATTCCATATAGTTGCAGAAACCTTGAGTAATTGGAAAACTGCATGAAGCCTATACGACAAGAATATGGGGACAGCAAGTGCCATTGTTGCTACAGTGAATAGGGCTTGCAAAACAATGTACATGAACAAGCGATTTTGATCTCCAAGCACCCCACTTAATCGCCACCATAAGTTGTTTGCTTTTTGAGCCTTTTTGGAGAGCTCCCTAAGAAACAAAAAGATATATGTAAGACTCCAATTCGAAGCACATGCATTGTAGTGCCTAAACCTTACTCCCTTCAGACCACAATGTAAGTTAAGTTATTGTTAATTAATTTACATTTCTAAAAAAATTGATTAAAGTCTTGATTTCTAAAACTTATTCATATTCTTCCAATCGTATGATTGATAAGAATAAATATAACATTTGATTTATTTAAAATGTCCTCATTAATTACTTGAGTGGAATATAATAAAGTAAGGATATAATTAGAATATACGTATATAAAAATTATCCAATATCTTATATTTTGAACCAAGTGGGACTTCTGAAAAATGCCCTATATTGTAATCCGGACAGAGTAATTCTGGTCAAATTTGAGATAGTTAAAAGGTGAAGGAAAGGGAATGGATATTTGTTAATTACCTGTAAGAGGTCATGACTTCAGGATCTCTTAAAAGCCTTTGTCTGCGCAAGACATTGACAATGAGAAAGTATAGGACCTGCCATAAAGTGTAGGCTACTAAAGGAACCAAAAACAGCCATGTCCAGAGGTAGGCCTTGTCTTCCACATAAGGCCATGTTGGCCTTCGAGGACTTCCCTCTGGATGCATGGCCTCAAAGGTTGCAGGATTCCACCACCGAATGGTAAAGAAAACCAATCCTGAAAGTAATTATTGAGTTAAAAGACAAAATGAACCCAAATAATGATACAGGCAACGTAAAGTTGACCTATGTATCAAAAAGCCTAGAGTCCATTGGCCATCAATCTTATTCTGACGAGTAACATGATATCCATGTAGAAGTTCAAGCTGGTCCACTGACTTGCAAATTTTAAATGACAGGTATTCATGAAATGATACACAAAGCACAAATAGATGAAGATGAAAATTCAGCCACAAGCATGGGATAAGAAATAAAGAATTTTGATACTAGGAATTGGTTCGATAGATAGAACATAGGATGAGGGAAGACTATCTAATGCGGTGAACATCAACAGTATAAAAATGCAAATGGCCCAGTGAGAATGGCTGAACAAAAATAGCAAAATTGAATTCAGAAATGAGAGAAGATTATGTAACACACGGGCATCATAAATATAGGACACTAGTGTTTTTCCCAATTAATATGCATTGGTCCCAGATGAATGGAATTGAAGTTTCTCCCACTTTTAATAAATAACTAACTTAACTAATTTCCTTGATTTCTGCATATTACCTATCTAGCTCTTATATTTAGGACCAGAGAATGTAATCTGTATCTTGTATCTGGTGTTTGAAAAGTAACATTATCTCTCAATTCCATATCATTAGACAAAGATTAAAATGGTGGAAAAAGAATAATTTAAACAAAGCCAGTAACGCTCCAGAATCTTTCAATATTTCCATAAGAGAAACATTTGGTAATAGAGCTTCAACAAAAGCTAGCCGAGTATCACCAAACATAGTGCTTCTATCACAATTACTATATTCTAAAATTTAGTGCATGAACACATACAATATATGCTCTCACTACTAGACATTAAGGCCACTAAGTAAAAAAGTGAACAATTATCATAATAGAAGCCTTTGGTGTTCCACAGTTCAGCTGTCCTGACTACTAAGATTAGAAACGCTAAAACATAGAGACCTAACTTACCGGGTAGAAGATGGATAAGAACACTAACAATTTTGTCAAAAGAACTGAAAACCAAGCTGCATCGCCACACAATCAAAGCCCATGCCAATGGCCCCTACAACCACACTTAAATTAAGTTTGAAAGTTGACACTTGAACCATTCTTCTGCTGGTGTCAAACTACCAGAAACTGAATGCCTACCTCCGCAAAAGAAAAGCAAACCATGAAAAGCTTTTCGTTCTTTGGAGAAAACAGAAGGTCAAACAAGAATATTGTATTGGCATAATAGCAAAAATCCTGAAACAGGAAAAAATCATGTTACTTCTATTTCCTTGCTTACATTTTTGAGGCAACTCATAGGCTATTAACAAGATTGACTAGCTCAAATAATAGTAAAAATACCAAGACCCAGCTCTTGTAATTTAAATTACCACAGGACAAATAGACACTGTTAAGCAAGCTCTCTTTACTCTCTTTTTTCCGCCACTAAGCTCTCTTCACTATTAGTGGGATGCTTTTATGCAGAAATTCCCACCAATAAGATCAAACTTTTGGAAAAATTATCCTTTTCTTTAAACCTCAAGACAAATCAGTATTTTGTAACTTCACAATTTAAATGGTATTTGGCAACTCTTATCCCCATCTGCTACATAGAGAACCAAATATGGCAGGTCTTTTTTTTTTTTTTTTTTTGGGAGGGAGGGGGCAAATAGTACAACTAATCCTCCATCCAAGTCATTCAAAGATAGCTGTAAGGAATTCATAATCTATTATCCCCCTCCGCTAAGAATACAGAGTCAGTTAGATACGTGCCTACTACTTGCAAGAAGCAATCCAGTAAATCCAGACATCTGATTCTGATTGTAACAGATTTTTGCTCGTGCTGCCTTCTCAATAAATGCCTACGGGATGGTACTAATACTACATCCTTCGCACAGTATAATGCAAGAAGTACAATGAAAATAAACTTTATTCAAGAAATCAATGCACGGTTTCAGAAGCAAGTATTGAATAAACAGATGGATCAGATAACAAGTTTGAGATATTATATCTTACCAGAAGATAGTAATGCCATTTTTTATACCTATAGTATATCCACCGGAGAGGAACAAAGGTGATGTAGAAGAAACAATATACATAGGGAATGTCTTGGGGTCCTGGTAAACAGAAAACAAAAATAAAATAAAGAAGAGTAACGGTGACCACGAATTTGTTTAAGGAGAGTTTAGAAAGCATTATACTTTGATCCACTGGTCAGAGTTATCAACTTACTTGCCCCCAGGAGGAAGCAAAAGCCGCCAAAGCCGAGAACCCCCAAAAAATGCGTCACCTGAACACGGAAGCAAAGAAGATAATCAATCGAAACCTAGTGTCACAAAGCCAATAGTGGAAACCGTATGCATAATCCATTGAATTAACCAGCGCCAATGAAAACCGTGGATGATCAATTTCATATTAAGAAGATGAGAAAAGAAAAGAAAAAAAAAAAGAAAGGAAAGACTCACCTTGTTGATGAACCTTTCATGTTCCTCGGCTCGCTTGGCGATCTTATCCGCATGCTTCGAAAGCATCTCTTTCGTCTGAACAGCTTGTTTGGACAACATCTCCTTCATTCGAGCCAAACCAAATCAAACCAAAGCTTGAGAATAATCATTTAACAGATACAACCGATGGCATAAATCAAATCGAGATCAAGATTCAAACATACCTTAGATCTATCCCTGAATCTCTGCTTCACCTTTGCAGAAGATTCGCCATTTGTATACTCCACGTGATCTTCGCTGTCGGACATTTTTACTACTCACTGACCAACCGACGTTCTCGATGCACAAACAAGAGAGAGAGGGAGAGAGAATGATAGTGAGTATGAGGATGATCGTTAAGACGCAGAATCTGAAGAACAATGTTCTTTCCGTTCATGGAACGGGAAGGGACAGAGAGCCAGAGACTAGAATGTTCTTTTAATCTTTGATGGGCATAGAAGCGGATTATATTTTAAACCATACGTGGAAGAGACTTGGCTTCTACAGCCTCTGTCACGGATGATATCTCCATGATCGTATAAAGATTAAGTTAATGAACGATTTATTGGTTAGCCTCGTATAATATGAGTAAAGGGGACGACATTAGCATTGGGGGTGTTCTGCATCAGTCTTCGGACTGAGTGCACAACTGATCGGGGGCTAGTGCCGCCTCCCTGATGAGCCCATGGCAGGGCAAAACCAATGTGATCTGTATGTGGTAAGGCTTGTCCTGAGGATTATGGGGTCCTCCAGGACGCCGCACGGACGTCGTGTGCTGCGCCAGACTCTCAGCCCGTAACAGAGTGGTATCAGAGCGGGACGTACTTTACTGCCGTGTGCCTGTGGGGTCCCACGTTGGGACTGGTCGACCTCGGCACTGCTCCAGAAAGGCCTCCGAGCAGGTGGGTCCAAAAGTGGGGACTCGGGCGGGAAGGTTGGCCGTTGTCGACTCCACTCCTGTTGGCTCGCGGGTGCGAGGGGGTCTGAAGAGTGCAGGACTCGGGTGGCCACTCAGTAGTAAGCTGATGTGTTTGTGGCAGTACTGTACGTACGATCCTTGGGCGGAGTCGTTCTCCCCTAGCACGAGGGCGTGCTAGATTGGGTGTGAGAGAATGTAACGGATGATATCTCCGTGACCGTGTAAAGACCAAGTTGATGAACAATCCGCTGGTTAGCCTCGCACAATATCGGTAAAGGGGGCGACATTGGCATTGGGGGTGTTCTGCCTCAATTTTCGGACTGAGTGCACAACTGATTGGGGGCTAGTGCCGCCTCCCTGATGAGCCCATGGCAGGGCGAAACCAGTGTGATTCGTATGTAGTAAGGCTTGTCCTGAGGATTATGGGGTCCTCCAGGACGCCGCACGAGCGCCGTGTGCTGTGCCAGACTCTCAGCCCGTAACACTCCGCTGCGTTCAGTCCAAGTTCGGACCATTCCAATTTAATTTAGATATTCTTAATTTAATGTTTTTGTTTTTGTTTTTATTTTATATTTATTAAAATAAATTAAAAAATTTAAATAATTCAAATGTAATACATATAATACGATTTTAATATTAAAATTTATAATTTTTATAAATTAATGATTCAAATATATTTTAGATGGTATAAATTTAATATTAACTTTTTAAAAATTTTTAATATTAATTTTAAATTATTTATATTAAATTTGAATTGTTCAAAATGATAAATATATTTATTAAATTTTTTCATAATTTATATAATTTTTATTTTAATATAAAAAAATAAAAAAATTAAATTTAAATAGTTCAAATTTCTTTTCGATCAGAGAAGGCGCAGGCGCGCAGCGGATGCCGCTGGCGGAGGGAAGCCGAGTCTTTGTGGAAAATCGAAGGGGGTGCAGGTTTCATGCTCATCTTATGAAGTTTTAAAATAAAATTTAAATCATTCAAATTTTAATTTAAAAGGTTCAAATTTTAAGGATAATATTATATTATATTTATTAAAATAAAATTCATAAAAATTATAAAATAAATTTAATAAATTTTTTATTTTTAATATGATCTAAATTTAATTTAAAGAGTCTAATTTAATATTAAAATTTTTAAGATTAATGTATATTGATTACCTAGATATACTCTGTACAGTCTAGATAAAATTATAAATTATCTAAACTGTGTAGAGTACATTTAGATAATCAATATACGTCAATCATGAAAATTTTAATATTAAATTGGATCTTTTAAATTAAATCTAAATGAAAAAATAAAAAATTTATTAAAATTATTTTATAATTTTTATAAATTTTTTTTAATAAATATAATATAAAATTATATAATAATATTAAAAATTTGGATCATCCAAATTAAAATATGAATGGTCTAGATTTCATCTCATGCTCATCCTTGAAATGAGTAGGGAAACTCCTTTCGATTGAGAATTGGTTTTAGTGTTCATGATAAAATTCAAACCATCTAAATTTTATCATGAGATGAGCATGGAAACTAAACTTGATTGAGGATATGATTGCACAAAAGACAAGACAGTATTGAATTTCGACCTAACTCAAAGTCTAATTTTTTTTTATAAAAAAGACTAAGTTAGGCAACTCGTAATTTAATTTTGTCTAGTGATAACTCGAGGATTAACAGGCCCTGATTTGGTTCATAGGATCGAGAGACTGGTCCTATTAGTCCAATACTCATTTAACTATTTTTTTCTTTTTCCTTTATAAGAGACAATAATCTATTTCAACCTAATAAACTCAATTAAGAAAATAGGATCACTGATAATCATAATAAATTCAAAATAATTTTCAAAAAAAAATTATTTCAATTACAATTTAAATGATTTAAATTTATAATTTCAACAAAAATAACACTCAACAAACTTTAACAACATTACATTACAACAATAATTTAGAAACAAACTCAAAAAATTTTATCTAACCATCTCCTTAGCATAAATTACACTCAAAGTATTTATCAAAAAATAAATTAATTATAACTATATTAAATAAATTAATAGGATTGGACCAAGTGGTTCAGATGCCCAGTCTCCTGTCCAATCCAACCTGAAAAAATACTCTGATCTTTTTAATTTTTTTGGTCATAAATGACCAATGTTTATAAGGACCGGACAAGACAGGACTATCTTAGGTTGGATTGGGTTGGACAAGATTGAAGGACTTTTATACAGCCCTAAGTGAGGATTGGTTTCAGTGCTCATGATAAAATTTGGACCCTCTAAATTTTAATTTGATGATTCTAATTTAAATTATTATTATATATTTTATTTTATATTTATTAAACTAAAAATTATAATTTTTTTATTTTTAATCTGACCTAAATTTAATTTGAAAGGCCTAATTTAATATTAATATTTTTATAATTAATATATATTAACTATTCAGATATTCTCTGCACAGTCCAAATTTAATCTGGTGTTAATTTCGACTATGCAGAGTACATCTTGATAATCTATATGCATCAATTATAAAACTCTTAATATTAAATTGGGTCTTTCAAATTAAATTTAGATCATATTAATAATAAAAAATTATTAAAATTATTTTATAATTTTTTTATTTTAATAAATATAAAATATAATAATATTTTAAATTTAAAGCATTTCTATTAAAATTTAGATGGTGCTAATTTCATGTTATTCATCGTGGACAGAAACCAATCCTGAAAGATTGTTGTTGCTATCAGGACGTCTGCAAGACACCACGCGTGCATGCACCGCGCCACATGTGATCCATCTAGGGTCCATGCTAATGTTATAAACTTGTACTAAAAAGTTAATATTAAAAATGTTGCTTCTCTATTTAAAAATATAAAATATTTTTAATTAAATTTTATTTTTTAATAAAATAATTATTTATTTTTTAACTAACCATATCTTTTTATATTTATTTTTATTAAATACCTTATAATAAATATAAAGTTATTGTTAATAGAGGCACTTAAAAAAAGATAATAATTACATCTCAAAAAATTAAAAATACTTTATATTTTTTAACATCTAACTCCTCAAAAAATGCTTTATATTTTTGAATGGAAGGAGTAATAAATTTATGTAAAAATTATTATTATTTATGTATTTTTTGTTGTTGTCTATAATAAATAACACTACAAGCTTAAAAAAATTTATTTCATCCTTTTTTTATAAAGCATCTTCTAAAAGAATTTCTTAGTTGCTGATAAAAGTCGTCACATGAAGAGTTATTAATTAATAGTTTTCAATTTCAACTCTAGCAAATTGCTAAATGAAGAATTTGATTTTAATTTAATGTTTTTATATTGCTTTTCGAATATTGTATTTCTCTCTCTTTGATATAGGCAAAATTAAAATATTTTTTAATTTCAAAACAGATTTAATAAGTTAACCTCCCTTCTTTTAATTGCAATGAAATGATTGAAAGTAACCTCTAATAAAACTGAAGGGAATATATTCTCTCTGTAAATCATTAAAGTTCTGTTCACAAAGTGATTTGTATCTTTTTTGGGCCAGCAATAATTTATAATTTATTTGATATAGCTATTTAATTGGTTTGATTTGAACATCGTAAGTCTAACACAACTATTAATATTTTAGATCATGAATCTCTTCTGAAATATGATGAAGGATATATTATATTATTATATTAATTAATCTATTAAGTGCAATTGTATATTCTATTTTTTTTTTTAAAGCTAAAGTCAAATTAAAACGAGTATAAACAAAAGGTCCCAGAACAATTCATGAATCTCTTCTGAAATATGATGAAGGATATATTATATTATTGTATTAATTAATCTATTAAGTGTAATTGTATATTCTATTTTTTTTAAAGCTAAAGTCAAATTAAAACGAGTATTAACAAAAGGTCCTAGAACAATAACTAAACTATCCTCTTAAACAAATAAAAAAAAAACTAACAACATTTTATGCCGACAATATTGCAATCAAAATTGGCCCAAATACACAAAGCTAAAACAAAAGGCAACAACAAAATATAAACTAATATATTGCTCACAAATAATATTCTTACATCGATATTGAAATTTAAACTTACAACTTTTTAAATTATAAGTTAAATTTTTACTAATTAGACAAACGTTTATTGATAGCAAGGAATTCTTTCATCAAGCAGGTCCAAGAATAATCTTCAGCCTAAAAGGAGAATCCATTAATTGTGATTGTAAAAGAACTTACCAAAATTAAGCGTGCAGGCTGTGAACATGCTTCTAAAACTCTTGACTTTCAAGCTCCCAAAGGACTTGAAGGAGTATGAAACAATGAAGTTTTGGCCGTAGGAAAAGGTAATCCAAATTAGAAGTACATTCTAATTTGAATTTGAAATAATCTATACTTGTTTTTCGAACTTGAAATTAAAATTTAAATAATCTATATATTATGTAGGAAGTTGATGTGATGAATTGGACCACTATATATCATGGTTTTTTTTTTTGGCAAAGAAAATGATATTCCTTTCATTTAAAAA